TATTTCTTACTCGTCTCTCTCTCCTCCTCTCTCTCTCTCTCTCTCTCTCTCTCACACACACTACACGGAGACGTTGCACTAATCAGCCTTTAGAACAAGTTAGTTAAACTGGTGCAATAGCCTGTGTCGATATTTTTATTCTGGTTTATCTTAAAGATTCCTAGTAGATTTATGCTAAATACAAATAAGCCTGGTTTAAATAAGTGTGGCTATTCAGCCTTTTGCACCCATTTGACTAAATCAGTTTAACATCACATCCAATGTGATGTATGCCATCATGTGCCAGCAGTGCCCCTCTGCCGTGAACATTGGCCAAACCAGACAGTCTCTACGCAAAAGAATAAATGGACACAAATCAGACGTCAAGAATTATAACATTCAAAAACCAGTCAAAGAACACTTCAATCTTCCTGGACACTCAATAGCAGACTTAAAAGTGGCAATTCTTCAACAAAAAAACTTCAAAAATAGATTCCAATGAGAAACTGCAGAACTGGAATTAATTTACAAACTGGACACCATCAAATTAGGCCTGAATAAAGACTGGGATTGGAGGGGTCACTACAAAAACTAATTGTCCCCCTACTGTTACTCACACCTTCTTGTCAACTGTTTGAAATGGGCCACCCTGATTACATTGGCCTCATTACCACTACAAAAGTGATTTTTCCTCCCTTGGTATTCTACTATTGAGAATAGCCCACTTCCACATTAATTGAATTGTCTCATTAGCACTGACCTCCGCACTTGGTAAGGCAAATACCATCTTTTCATGTACTGTGTATTTATACCTGCCTACTGTATTTTCCACTCCATGCATTTGATGAAGTGGGTTTTAGCCCACAAAAGCTTATGTCCAAATAAATTTGTTAGTCTCTAAGATGCCACAAGTACTCCTCGTTGTTTAAGTTAAACCAGTGCAACTTTCTCATGTGACCTTAGTTAAACTAGTACAAGTTTCCTGTGTGTTGACAAGACCTAACTGATGCCATATTATGCCATAATCATGCATTATGAGAATTTTACATCTTCCTATGAAATGCCTGGTACCGGAGAGACTAGACTAGATGCAGCATTGGTCAGCTCCAGTATGGTAATTTCTACATTCCTACTCCAGGCGCTGATCTTGTGAACCCATCACTATTACTGAAGTGTGTGAGGTGTTTTGTTTTTTTAAAAGTTATTGCATAGAAATTTAAGGCTGAAGAGAATCCTAGCCCACCTAAACAATCACCCTCTATTCAGTATAACAATATGTACAGGTCTGTCGCATCTTACGCACATTTAACATGCGCGATTTCAACTTTACGCGGTCGGCATAAACAAAAAACAACAACAAAAAAGAGAAAAACAACAGTTTTAATACTATACCTGTAGTGCGGGCGATTTCGCCCGCCATTGAACTCAATGGGGTTTTGGCTATATGCGGTTTTCGCTTTACGCGCTAACCGCGGAACGGAACCCCCGCGTAAGATGAGACAGACCTGTCACTAATATGCACAGTTAACCAGGGCATTCATTATTAAATTCTGAAAATTAGCAAGTAAGATCCAGATTTAGGAAAGCATTTGAACACATGCTTAACTTTAAGCACAGGTGTAAATCCATCCTATTCAGCAAAGCAATGTTAGCATGTGCTGAAAGTTAAGCACATTAAGTGCTTTGCTGAATTGGGTCAAAAAGGAGTATGAACATATAATCAGTTACACTTCACTTAGTTTAATGACGGTTGATAATACTTCACAGTATATGAGTAAAAGTATTGTAATATATTTTATAAAAGTAGTGAAGTATTAGTAATATGACAGCATGGTGCTATTATTATGCAGCACTCTGCTCTTGAATCAGGTTTTTTGGGTGAGAATTATTGGATTTGCAGATTAGCAAAGTGAGAATTAGGCTCTACTGCATCTCATTTTCTAATATCTGTCTTTTAATTACATGGCAGCTTTCCCCAAAGGGGTAAAAATTCTTCCTTGGCATAACTGAATTGACTTCAGTGGTGCTGCAGCCTAAATGAATTTGGTCCAGGGACTCTCAAATTTGGAGGGGTTTCATTTGCTGGTTTAAATATACAACATGCTACAAATTAGACACACAGAATCTCCCCTGAAAAAAAAAGACTCCTTGGAAATGAAATACCTTTTAGGTGCATAAAGTATCCAGTTAAATGGTGATGGAATTAGGATATTTCCTTCAGTTAGAAAAATATATAGAGAGACACATTTGTAATCCCTATGTAATCTATATGGGAAAGTTCTTTGCACACTTTTTCTGATGAAAGTGTGCAAGAGGCGTGTGAAAAGTATAATTTTTGAGAAATAAACTGCCAGAGACACAGGGTCTTGAATTGGTTACAATCTAGACTGGCAGATTATGGGTGGCAGTCTGAATTACTCTGAAAGGGCTAAAGAGTTCATCCAACAAGTCAGTGGGAATTACAGATGCTCAGCATCTCTCAGGATTTTGCCCATGTGTGGTAATAGGATCTAGATCCATTTTCTGCCCAGACATCTCATTGTGAAGATGTTAACCATTGCTCTTAGAACACTCCCGCATAGGAGCACTTCGGAGTATGTTTCAGAAAACTAGAAAACCTTTATAATAAAGTATTTATTCCATCTGTATAGATATAAATTGCAGCTGCCAGATGTGTTTGAATGAGAGCTCGTTGATGATAGCACTACAATTAAATGATTACTATCTATGTAAAGGACACTGATTATTGGAAATGTCCTTACCTTCTACCTCTTTTCTTACTTTTGACTTCTTTCTCTCCCTGTCATTCCTCTTTGTTCAATCTTCCTCACCTCTGCAAAGGTAACAGACATGATGCAGAAAGCCCTCTTTGACTTCCTGAAGCACAGGTTTGATGGGAGGTGAGAAATATAATCCTTTTCATGTTTTTTCCCACATTATAATGATTTTATGTAGTGCCTTTTATCGAGGAGGATCCCAGTGCATGTTCCAACTGATTCACTAACTATATACACCTCTACCTCGATATAATGCTGTCCTTGGGAGCCAAAAAATCTTACCGCGTTATAGGTGAAACCGTGTTAAATCGAACTTGCTTTGATCTACCGGAGTAGATCAGCCCTCCACGGAGCACTGCTTTACTGCGTTATATCCGAATTCGTGTTATATCGGGTCGCGTTATATCGGAGTAGAGGTGTATGTAGAAATCCTTTTATTCAACACTGAATTGTAGCCACCAGGTGACAAACAACAACGGTTTTTAAGAGTGCATAACAACACAAAGAATGGAAGGTGTAACAGAGGAGAATTTTGCCTGAATACTGAATCCAACTGAAATTGCAGGGAAAATGTAGGTAGGCAGAATGTAATTATCCTAGATGGAATTTGACAAGGGCAAAAAGAAAGAAGTGGTATGGAATCTCTAATGATGACATGTGGCAAGGATCTTAGATGCAACATTAAAAAGAACCTGAGGGCTGGTCTACATTACCACGGTAAATCGATCTAACTTACGCAACTGCAGTTACATGAATAACGTAACTGAAGTAAAGTAGTTAGATCCACTTACCGCAGTGACTACACTGCACTGTGTCGACGGGATAGCATCTCTTGTTGACTTCCCTTACGCTTCTCGGGGAGGTGGAGTACACAAATTGATGGAAGCGTGCTCTCCCATCGATTTAGCATGTCTTCACAAGACCCACTAAATCGACACTCGCTGCATCGATTGCAGCAGTGCTGATCTGTAGACATGCCCTGAGTGTACCTCCCAAGAACATGATGCTTCTTCGCACCAGGCTGGGGCACTAGTTCACTACTGACTCAGAGGAAACAGTGCCACCTACTGAATCACCAGGAGTACTTTCTGCAGTATCAGGGTTTTCCCTGGAGGTCTCCTATTCAAATATTAACTCTGCTCATCTCATGAGACCACAATACAGCATAATTGCTGGTCAAATGAGCTCAGCAAATCAGATTTTTTTCTAATCTAAGAGGCTTCCAGCTACCCTTGCTGAATGTCATTAAACAGTAGAGCTGTGTGAATAACTGATTTTTTTTTAATTTGCTGCCTATACTGAAAAATCAGGGGGTGGGGTGCGGGGGGGAATTGCTTCAAGAATTTTTTTTTCAGACCAAAAAAGTTGATTTTTTGTTTGCAGTGGGTCAAATTCTGCTCTCATTTACAGCAGCATATCACCACTGGAGCTAACTGAGTTGTTCCAGATTTATACCAGCATAATAGAGAATAGAATTTGGTCTCAAATAAGTTTCTTACATCATCTTCTTAATGTTGTAGTGTATATTTTTTAGCTCGCAAGATGATAAAATTGAGAAGAATAAGTAAGAAACTTCAGTTTATTCAAAACTCTTTCATTATACCAAAGTTTTGTTGGCATTTGGTACTAGATCTAGCAAAATGATTGAAATCTACTGGCCTCCAAACATTAATGCTTGCTTATTTCATTCTGAAGTTACCATTTACTGGGCTAATTTTGATCTGATACCATTTGTCAAGTTCAGGTCTCTTATACAACAGAATATGCTCTAAATAAACTAATCACACCCGGATGCTGGAATAACTATCAGGAACAGAGTGAATTTAAACAGTGAGCAAAGAGAAGGCTCAGGGCAGAAAAATCAGCTATTACATGTATTCAAGAGTCAAAAATATTTAAAAATTCAATTTTGGAAAAGACAATGCCCAAAAACAAAAATGTAGGAAAACATGTCAGGTACAGTAACTCCTCACTTAAAGTCGTCCCGGTTAACATTGTTTCGTTGTTATGTTGCTGATCAATTAGGGAACATGCTCTTTTAAAGTTGCGCAATGCTCCCTTCTAACGTCGTTTGGCAGCCGCCTGCTTTGTCTACTGCTTGCAGGAAGAGCAGCCCGTTGCAGCTAGCTGGTGGGGGCTTGGACCCAGGGTGGACTGGCAGCCCCCATATCCGTTCCCCCTATCAGCTCCCCGCTCCCCTAAGTTCCCTGTGCAGCAGCTGCCTGCAGTTCAGCTGTGTCCCTACCCCCACTGCCATGTGCTGCTCCTGCCCTCTGCCTTGGAGCTGCCCCCTGAGACTCCTGCTTGCTGTGCGGGGGGGGGGGGGAAGGAATAGGGGGGCTAATGTCAGGGTGTCCCCCTCCCCCTGCTCCTGCACCCTGCTTACCCCATCTTCCATAGAGCAGGGGGGACACTCAGGACTGAGGGAGCTTACAGCAGCTGCAGTCTCAACAAGCTGATCTAATTACCAAGACAGTGTACTTAAAGGGGAAATGCGAATATCTCCCTCCATTCCTGACGCCTTGTAAAGTGAGAGAGTTAACCCTTGAGGGCTCAGCCAATTGCTAGTTCATCATTTAGCAGTAAGGGAAATATCCCACCCTCTGACTCCTCCACCTCAACCAAGCTTCACAATCATCATCACTGTGTACCAGTATTAAATTGTTTGTTTAAAACTTATACTATGTGTGTATATGTGTGTGTATATATATATATATAAAAAAGCCCTTTGAAAGCCCTCCTATATAATATAGTCTCTTGTCTGGTGAAATTTTTTTTCCTGGAACCTAACCCCCTCGTTTACATTAATTCTTATGGGGAAATTGGATTCGCTTAACGTCGTTTCACTTAAAGTCGCATTTTTCAGGAACATAACTACAACGTTAAGTGAGGAGTTACTGTACTTGAAAAGGTTGCAGAAACTGCAGGGGGATGCAGGAGGGAGAGAGAACAAAGTATATAGCCTCCTCAGCTCATGCAAAGAAAGGCTTTTCCTTGAGCAACTGAGAGCAAGAGAAGAATTTTAATTCCTTTAAGAATTTAGACTGAGCTCACTGCTCTACTGCTGCTCTCAGGTGTTGTTGGGGAAGTCCCTGATGATCTAGGGGTTGGCTCAACCCCCGGGAAGTCCTGATCTGCTTTCCCCAATCCCTGGGGCACATTGGTGGGGGCAGTTTGCACGGTGCCAGCCACCACATGGTAGCAATTGTTTTTCTAAAGTATCTAGCGACATTGTAGGCACTAATACACTATAAATAATAAGGTCCATGAGGTTATGGTAAAGGCACCATAATGGCAAAAAGCAAAATTGGCATTTTGTTGTTGCCAGCAAACATATATAGTTGATGTTTTCTGTGGTATCCGCTCCAGGGAAATTACTTTCTGTATATGCACCCAATAGATGGTGCTCTCTTTTTTGTCATTCATTTCTTTTTGGTAGTAAGTACCCATTTGTAGATTATTTGAACTTCAGTCCTAGATCATTTGAACTCTGCTTTCCATGGGCACACCACATGCTCTCACATGTCAAAAAATGCTGCAGAACTTTAGGAGACTCTCCAATGGCTTTGAAAGCCCTCCTGATTTAATGACAAACAGCGCATTACTGAGACTGTGACATTGTGCAGAGTTGGTTTCTGGAAGGATAATGTCTTCACTAAGATTTACAAATGTTTCCAGATGAGAAGCCAAGTACTGGCTCAGGTGGCCAATTTCACTAAGCTAAAAGTTACAAGTCATTAAAACTTTGTTCATGGGATAATTCCCACAGATCCTGCTGTTTGTGTGGATGGGTTTAAAAAGTACAATATTTTCTTAAAATATCATGATAATTGAAGGTAGTGCTGACTGTTTTGTTTGTGTGTTTGGATTGGTTCAAATGTATTGTTGTCAGAATCCAACATGGTGACTGAGTTGCTGTCACCCGTATCTAGAGTAAGGTGGTGTAAGTTTCATATATTGATTAGTGGGCGAAAGAGTCTAAACTGATGTTAGAGACTCACTGTGCTGGTTGGTTACCACTTGTAGATTCTAGGCCCTCAGTGGTGAAAGTGAAGTAAAAGGGCTACAAGACTCCTGAAGCTTTCATCTACTAGTTGCAGCCCTGGAAGTAGACAGCACTTGGCAGTACGGAGCATGGTCAAAGAGTCAAGGATATGTGGAGAGTCAATGCACCTTCCAGCAGAGCTCCAGTGGGGCCCCAGCTATCCTTTTAAAGAGCCTAAATTGGTGTAACTTACATGCTGAGGGGTTGGAAGAATGTGTGAAAATATTAAAAGTCTGAATGCAGGAGGAGCTACTTGAACTGACACCCTCCACTTCTTTCCATGTTGCCTCTTGCTGTGTGAGTTACATAAACTTAGACTCAATGGGTCAAATCTGCCCTGAATTATACCTGTGAAACTCCACTGAAGTCAGTACACTTGCATGTGTGTAACTCAGCACACAGTGTGGGCAAATCAATGTTTTTAGTGACTGATTAGTTGTTATTAAATCTGTGGCCTTTGACTTCAAATGACTCTGATGCTACGTTAACATCAGGGTAGGGGACCTGAGCTCCCTAGTGTTAATGTGATAAATATAAAGAGGTTAGTATTGTGACACAGGAGGTGTACATAGCAAGCACATCTGAGGTGATGGCACTTCTGGGAATTTGCTACTCTTTGCAGCCTTCATAGAATTATGAGAGAAGAGTGGAATGCTATCACTGTGGGATGTGAGATCCCCTGAGACAAACAGCTGAAGAATATCTAACATTCTAAACTCTCTAATACTTTGGCACTTCGATGTAGAATTTGATGCAAAATGTTAATTCCATATGTAGTAGTATTTAATTACAGTAGCTCTGAACTGTCCAAATTACATTTCTTTAGTACAATTTGTGGCATAGTCCTACAATAAATGCTTGTCTTAAGGCTCTGGGGTACCTTTTAGTGCCATTTTTCTGTTGTTGCAATATATGTCTCAAATCTGAATACAAGCCACTTATTTGACTATCAGAAAATGCATTTCAGCTGCAGAAAACTGACTACATTTTTGTCAAGAGTCAGCAGTTAAATGAGTCCCATTCTTTAGAGAGCCTGGTCATTGATAAAGATGTTAAATAGTGTAGAGCCAAGAGCTGA